TTGATAACTGATAGAAACTACTATTTTAAAAGAGATCTAGGAAGTGAAAAGCTTATATTTTCTGGTTCCCAGATGGGGGCACCAGTTGAATAGCAGCCAGCTTGTATGCAGCTGGCTAATGGCAAGCTTGTGGCAGACATATTGGAGGTTGCTGCTCCTGAAAACCTGCCACCTGCTAACAACAACATTTAAAACAGAGCTGGAATCAAAGTATAATAGATACAAACTCAGTCTACCAAGAACAACTGCAGCAACTTCTACCAAAGGAAATTATGAACATAAGAAGAGGCCTGTTGGCTCAAACTAGTGGTCCATCTAGTCCAGCATTCTGTCTCTCACAATGCCCAACCAGTTACTCAGGAGGAACAGCAACGGGGGACAAATGCAGAAGCCTTCCCCCTCATACTGCCTCCCAGCACTGATATTCCGAGGATTACTCCCTCTGAATGTAGAGGTTCCCTTTAGTCACCCTGGCTAGTAGTTACTGATAGACCTATTCCTCCATGAATCTGCCTTTTTTTTTTACATCAAGTCACAGTTGACTTATGCCCGCCCCACAGAGTTTTCAAGGCAAGAGAAGCTCACAGGTGGTTTGCCATTGCCTGCCTCCGAATAACAACCCTGGTATTCTTTGGAGGTCTCCCATCCAAATACTAGCCAGGGCTGACCCTGCTTAGCTTCCCTGATCTGATGAGATCGGGCTAGCCTGGGCTATCCAGGTCAAGGCATGAATCCGCCTAATTCCCTTTTAAAGCTGTCTATGTCTGTGGCCATCACTACAGCTTCTGGCAGTGCATTTGACATTTTAATCACTTAGTGAGTAAAGTAGTATTTCCTTTTGCCCACCACAAATCAGCTGCCCATCAACTTCACTTGATGTTGTCAAGTTCTAGTATTTTAGGAGAAACAGAAAAAGTTTGCTTTGTCCACTCCACCCTATGCATAATTTTGTGTGCCTCTAAGATGTCCCTGTCTCTTAGTCATCTCTTTTCTAAACTGCAAAGTCCCAGAGACTCCCCAGCCTTTCTTCATAGGAAAGGTGCTCCAAAGAATAATCTTGCTAATTACAAATAAAACTGCTTTCTACACAATCCACACAAATCAAAGGCTTTAGTGTAGTCAGTGAAGCAGAAGTAAATGTTTTTCTGGTACTCCCTTGATTTCTCCATAATCCAGTGAATATTGGCAGCTTGATCTCTAGTTCCTCTACCTCTTCAAAACCCATCTTGTACTTCTGGTAGTTCTCTATTTACTGCTGAAGCCTAGCTTGTAGGATCTTGAGCATGACCTTGCTAGCGTGTGTAAAAAGTACAATTGTGCGATAGCCTGAACATTCCTTGGCATTGCCCTTCTTTGGGATAGGAATGTAAACCGACCTTTTCCAATCCTATGGCCACTGTTGCATTTTCCAAATTTGCTGGCATATGGAGTGCAGCACCTTAACAGCATAATCTTTTAGGACTTTGAATAGCTCAGCTGGGATACCGTTGTCTCCACTAGGTTTGCTGGTAGTAATGCTTTCTAAGGCCCATTTGACTTTGCACTCCAGGATGTCTGGCTCAAGGTCAGCGAGCACACCGTCATGGTTATCAAGGACATTGAGGTCCTTCTTGTATAGTTCTTCTATGTTTTCTTGCCACCCTAATCTCTTCTGCTTCTGTTAGGTCCCTACAGTTTTTGTCTTTTATCATGGCCAGCTTTGCATGGAATGTTCCCTTGATTTCTCCAATTTTCTTGAAGAGATCTCTAGTCCTTCCCATTCTATTGTTTCCGTCTATTACTTTGCATTGTTCATTCAGGAAGGCCTCCTTATCTCTCCTTGCTGTTCTCTGGAAATCTGCATTCAGTTGAGTAAATCTTTCCTTTTCGCCTTTGCCTTTCACTTTCCTTCTTTCCTCAGCTATTTGTAAAGCATCATCAGACAGCCACTTTGCTTTCTTGCATTTCTTTTTCTTTGGGATGGTGCTGATTGCTACCCCCTGTACAATGTCACGATCCTCCGTCCATAGTTCTACGGGCACTCTATCTATCAAATCTAGTCCCTTAAACCTATTCTTCACCTCCACTGTATATTCATAAAGGATGTGATCTAATTCAAACCTGAATGGCCTAGTGGTTTCCCCAACTTTCTTCAGTTAAAGCCTGAATTTTGCAATGAGTAGTCTGAGCTACAGTGAGCTCCAGGTCTTGTTTTTACTGACTGTATAGAACTTCTCAATTTTTGATTGCAAATGATACAATCAATCTGATTTTGATGTTGCCCATCTGGTGATGTCCATGTGTAGAGTCACCTCTTAGGTTGTTGAAAGAGGGTGTTTGCTATGATCAGTGTGTTCTCTTGACAAAACTCTGTTAGTCTTTTGCCCGGCTTCATTTTGTTCTCCAAGGCCAAACTTTTCAGTTATTCCAGTTATCTTCTGACTTCCTACTTTAGCATTCCAGTCCCCTATGATGATGAGGACATCATTTTTTGGTGTTAGTTCTAGGAGGTGTTGTATGTCTTCACGGAACCGGTCCACTTTAGCCTCTCCTGCATCAGTGGTTGGGGCATAGACTTGGATTACTGTGATGTTGAATGATTTGCCTTGGATTTGGATGAAGATCATTTTTTAAGATTGTATCCCATTACTGCCTTTCTCACTCTCTTGTTAACTATAAAGGCCACACCATTTTTTCTTCGGGATTTATGGCCACAGTAGTAGATATGATGGTCCTCTGAGTTAAATTTGCCCATTCCCGTCCACTTTAGTTCACTGATTCCCAAGATGTTAATGTCAGTTTTGCCATCTCATTTTTGACCACGTCCAGCTTACCTTGATTCATAGATGTTACATTCCAGGTTCCTATGCAGTATTGTTCTTTGTAGCATCAGACTTTCCTTTCACTGTCAGACACATCCGCTGTTGAGCGTCCTTTTGGCTTTGGCCCACCTGCTTCATTCTTCCTGGGGCTACCTGTACTTGCCCTCTGCTCTTCCCCAGCAGCATATTTGACACCTTCCAACCTGAGGGGCTCATCTTACGGCATCATATCTTTTAGTCTTTTGTTACTGTCCATGGGGTTTTCTTGGCAAAGATACTGGAGTGAGCTGCCATTTCCTTCTCCACTGGAATATGTCTTGTCTGAGTTGTCCACTGTGGCCTTTCCGTGCTGGGTGGCCCTCCATGGCACAGCCCGCAGCCTCATCGAACCATGCAAGCCTCCCTCCCATGAGAGAATGCATTTACTGAATCATTAAATAATCACAGATGTAGGAGGAGGAGAAGGATGAGACTGGATTTATACCCTGCCCTTCACTACCCATAGGAATCTCAGAGTGGCTTACAATCCCCTTTCCCTTCCCATCCCCATAACAGACACCCTGTGAGGTAGATGGGGCTGAGAGAGCTCTTTCAAGAACTGCTCTGAAACAACTTGTAACTGACCCAAGGTCACACCAGCAGCTGCATGTAGAGGCGTTGGGAATCAATCCCAGTTCTCCCAGATTACAGTCAGTGCTCCTAACCAATACACCAAACTGGCTCTCCAAAAGATACTCCCCCCCCTCCCGCCAAACATCATTATCTGGGTTTCTGAACAACTATGCTCTTTCAAGTAGTATAATACATGTCTGAAAATATAAAAAGGTAAATTCCCAGCACTAAGACAATTGTTTGCCATCACTGATAGGAACAAAAATTCAAAAACAGAGTGTATGCTTTATGCTTACTTTTCATCTTCACCTTCCCATTTCTCCACTATTTTCAGCCTGCTCCATGATCCTAATGAACCTACTGTCTTTGGGATCTGTGGATTAGGCTAATGCTATTATCATCTCCTAGATGCCCCTCCCCGATGTGCTGCTTGGAGACATAGAATGTAGGGGACAAGTGTCTATTTTAATCTGCCCAGGATTCATACCTACCTGAATAACTGCTTCACCATTTCCTTAAAAAGTAAATCTAGTTACTTGCTTACATTGAATTCTGGATGTCTGCATTGGGAAGGGGGAAAATCATCAAGTGCCCTTCACTTGTTCTAGGGCAAACCTGGATCCAAGCCAATGAAACAAGTACCTGGCACACATACACAAAATTAAGGTACAGGTCTTCAATTAATTCTCATTCTGGAAAGCTATAATTTCATACATCAAAACAACTTTTTAATACAATGTTCATATTAATAATGCATGGAAGAGGTTACATTACCATTATGATATCAACACTGAACTCAATAGTTGGATGCAAAGGTTCCCTTCTGAACAAAGGGTTATGTCTTCTGTTTTATATCTCCTACTACAACACTGAATAAGAGAAACTAAACCCAAAAATAAATTCTTCTACTCGCACAAAACAGAATGAACTGAAACATGAAAGCTGCGCTGAGAACCCACAGTTTGTAGAGTAGTATGAGCTCACATACTAGCATTTATGAATGTGCTATTTTCTTACCATTCATAGCTCAGTAGATCTAATAAATTGTTCACCTAATGGTGAACAAGGACCCACATATATCAGAGTGGGCAAATTTTGAAGTCTCACAAAGATCCATGAAATCTGACAGTAGAAATCAAAATGTTCTTTTGTGCAGTTATAGACTGACAATAATATGTAGTCCGACTTCTTTTCAATAGACTTCCAGCTATTGCAAACAACCCTACAATCATATTTTTTTTCCTAAGCACTGAACATTCTAAAACAATCCAATGAAATAAACCCGTTTTGTTTCTCATGAAGAAAAACACTATACTCAACTAACTCTGGGGGGGGGGGGGGGAAAGTAGTTACCTCCATATCCTGAATATATTTGAATACTTGGACCTCTTTTTCAGATTAGGAAAATTGGTTTAAACAAAGGGAACATATATAAACCTTAACAGAGTTAAGGACACTTGCAGTGATATTTTCCATGCTAAACTGACAGTACGCATATGCAAATATAGAGTGACAGAAGTTTGCAAGGCAACACAGAAATAGACAAGCACACGCACTCCATTTTAAAGTAAAAGCATTCAAACTTACCTGCTTAGGTATCCGGAAAAGGGAGTTCTTAAAGAATATATCTTTGGCCTGACTCCAGGTTCCATCGATGATTACGATTACACGGGGATTGGGAGAGCTGAATTCTACTTCTTCCAGATTTGCTGCTCCCGCTCCAGGATATAATACCAAGGTATTAGGATTTCTGCACACATATGCTAGCTCAGGATACCTAGAAGAATATTGAAAAAGTTACCTTTCCCCCCTCATGAACCCCATTTCCTCATCTTTTTCTGTCCCAGCTACTTCCTGTTTCTTAGGCAGGTCTCAGGAATTTTCTAGCTTCTAAGAAGCACCATATGTAGACATCAACTGATACTTAGAATATTTTGTCTTCATTCCACTTAAGCACTACAGCATCAACCCCTGCTAATGAATGAGAGCAGAACTTGTTGGACTACACTCTCATTTGGTTGGTGTTGGAAACGATGGAGGTCTCTTAGTGCTGCCATCTCTGGGTTGGGAAATTCCTGGAAATTTGGGGGGAGAGCAGGATTTGGAAAGGAGAGGTACCTTAGTAGGGTATACTGCCATAGGGTTCATTCTCCAAAGCAGCCATTTTCTCCAAGGGAACTGATCTCTGTAGCTTAGAAATGATCTCTGTAGCCTGGAGATCAGTTGTAACTGATGGAAATAAAACATGGAAGACGCTCTATAAACCTGCGTTAAACTGATCTTCAGGCTGAGTGTCCAGGGAGGTAAAACCTATGTGCTATAGCCTGAAAATCATGTGAATCCCACAAGGTAACATACCCCCCCTGCAGTTTCCTAACTTAGACATAAGCTAAAGAAACTGTGGAAGCAAAACACTCAGAGAACAGAAGAGATATTAAATGTAACTGTCCCACCGCGGCCTGGCCTTGCATCCCGACGGGTGGGACTGGCAGGCAGAAGGGGGCCATGGGAAGCGACGTCACCTCGCCGCCCCCCCTTACCACTGCCCACAGCCTCGCAGGGATTTGGGCAACACCCGGGCAGGCCTCCCCGACCCACGGGCTGGAAGAGACTGGGGGGGGGGGCACCGCTGTGGCACCACAATGCCTTTGGCCCTGACCCCGGGAGGATGTGGGTGGCATATAAGAAAACCTCCCCACCCACCCCCACCGCTGAGAAGCAACCTACGGGCGACCCCAGTGCTGTGGGCCTGAAGGTGGAGACAGCCCAATGGTGGGTGGGGGGAGCAGCCCGGACCCGACTGACACAGCTCCAAAGAGCCTGGGCCGAGGACAGGGCTGCCTGGATGTGCCCGGTCCAAGCCCAGAGGCCCATGGCCGGGCGCAGGAAAAACCTTACCAGCTCTGGAGGGCATCATGGGCCGGGGGGGGGGCAGCAGGGAGTGGGCTCCGGGAGGCTGTGCCACACCCAGGCAGAGATGCTGAGGCCACAGCCCAGGGGCGGAGCCTCAACCCAGGGCTTAAAGGGTGAGAAAGCCCCACCAATGGCACACAGGCACTAGGGGATGGACAAGGGAGGGAGACCTATAGGATGCAAGGACGGGCAGGAGGGGAGGAACTAGGTTCTGGTGAAAGGGAATAAAAAGGGGATGAAGACCCAGAGCTGGGGAGGAGACCGCGGTGACTGGTAAGCTGCCTGCAAGCTGAGACAGAGACAGAGAGAGACACAGAGAGAGAGTTGGGTGCCGGTGGTGACGTAACCCTAGGCCCTCTCCTTTATCTGAGGCTCTGGTCCCAACCCCTTTGAGAGCCCTTCCTCCAGCCCAGTCCCACAGAGGTAGGACCACCCAAGCTGGATGCAGGATGCGACAGTAACATTGAAAAGAGAACCCTGAAAGAGCCAGGATAATACTCATAGATTTCATATTAAACAAATAAATTATTTGCTTGTCTGATTTCTTGAGTTTAATGTACAACTCCAGTTTTACTATACACACTTATATGGAGAAGTGTTTCTGTAGGGGAATATTACTCAGTTATGCTTGGGCAGTGTTTGAAACAGGGATACTGAAGAGCAGTAAGAACTTTGATGATGCCTTCAGAGTGACTGCAGTTTTTTGAAACTTCATGGTTCAAGTAGAAACTGCATTCCCCCCCAATTATTTTTATTAACAATCATCATTTGCATCCTCTCGATCAGAGTTTAAAGAACTTACATCTTGATGTCAATCTGAAACATACAAGTTATCTTCTCTATACATCAATATGATTTTCTTATGAAGAACCCATTTTCCTCCCCAGCCTTATAGACTTCAAAGAGGCTGGAAAAAGACTGGCAGCTTCTTCAATGCAAATGGAGGGCAACATGAAAGCTCCCACCGAGGTAAGGTACGTCAATTGCCATAATTTTTAAGCCTCTAAAGGTTGAGCATTACTATAAATAAATAAAAATGGGGTTTGCTTTCTTTCAAACGCCATATTTTGTACACAAGCTAAAGAGGAATCTCTCCCACAGAACTGAGGTATTGCTGGTCTAGATACAGAGACATACTTAGGGTTGCCATCCTCCAGGTGGTGCTGTAAACAAATATGTTAAACTTTGAAAATGGGCTGCATCTCAGAGACTCCCAAATCATATAAAAGTTCCATCAGTAAGAATTAACAACTTTTATATGATTTGGGAGCCTCTGAGATGCAGCCCATTTTCAGAGTTTAACATATTTGGTTACAACAGCTCTCTTAGTCCGTTGTCCTTTGTTGTTTTTGCAGTCCTTCAGGTGGTGGCTGGAGATCTCCTGGGATTAAAACTTATCTCCAGGAGAAAGAGATCAATTCACCTGGAGAAAATGCCCCCTTTGGAAGGTGAACTCAATGGCATTATACCCCATTGAAGTCCCTCCCCTCCCCAAACCCTCCCCTCCTCAGGCTGCACCCCCCAAATAGCCAATTATTCCTGAACCTGGACCTGGCAACCCTACACATACTCTTTCCATCTTATTTACCCACAAAATACATATTCTTTTCACACCAAGAAAAACAAACAAAACAGACAAAAATGAACCAACTAACTAATTATTTGCTTTACTCTGCCTCTCAAACCCACAAATATCTATTTGGGTGTTCGTCATGTCTGAAGACTAAAAAGTGAAGACTAAATGAGGATCTTTTAAAAATGTACACCATTTAAGATTTTCAAAGAAAAGTACACATTCCACCAGCTTTCTACAAGCTGGAGTTTCTGACAATAAACTAATACCCACAACCTTGTGCTCTCAGCGATGTACTGACAAATGATGGGCAAGTGTCCCTGACCTCAATCCATAACAGGCTATGTCCAATACGTGTAATACAAGTGCTACAAACCTGCAGAAAGTATTTTTTTCATGCTTACTCTGGCTCTACAAATATGCCCAGTGATATAATTGCAAGCACAACCAGCCTAAATTCTTGTCCACCCAACCAATTCCCCTCAATCTACAAGTCTCCTAGATTCCCATGTACTAATTCTTGAACCTTTTCTCACGGTCTTCTCTCACTCCCCCAACTTATTGGAGGTGGCAATGAACTGAAGGAAGGCCTCAGAAGAAGCCTCTGAAACTCTTCAGAGTTCTTCAGAGTATCTGAATACTTTGTATGAATGCACATGAAATCTAAATAACCCAGGAGTCCTTGTTCCCAGGAACCATCTTTGAGAACACATAATCCTTTGCACTGCTGAATGGCCCCTAAAGTGTGAAGGCAGGTAGGCCTGCTAACAGCCCAATCTACTCTGCACCAATAGTTTCAGCAGCACAGGTGGTTCAGCTCTTTTTCATTAAAAGGAGAAGGGTAGATAATGCTCCTGTGTAGTTTCATAAATGTTGCTGTCTATATTTTGGATGGTAGACTGTGGTAAATTGCACAGGAACTCAGATGCTGCTGATGCCACAGCCACCAGCAGCACTTTTACAATTTAAAAAAAGTTGCCACTGGTTGATTCCAAAGGATTAGAGTTGCCAGGTCTGGGTTGGAAAATACCTGGAGACTTTGGGAGTGGAGCCAGGAGAGGGCAGGATTTGGGGAGGTGAGGGGCCTCAGCATGGTACAATGCCATAGAGTCCACCTTTCAAAGCAGCCATTTTCTCCAGGGGAGCTGATCTGTCAGCTGGAGATCGGCTGTAAAAGCAGGAGATCTCCAGGCCCCACCTGGAGGCTGGCAACCCCACAAAGGATTAAACAAGAACTTCTGTTTTATATAATCGAGGTAGTAAAATGTAACACTTTTTTCTTGTCAAAGTTATCTTTTTACACCCAACATTAAAAGAACATAGATTTATGCTACTTCAGATATTTTTTAATTTTCTGAGCACAGGTTATAAGATCAAAAATTCTACTAGTAGAAAAGTCATTTAGATCACAGGGTTAAATTTTCCAGTTTAATTTAATAAGTTATTTCATTTCCCTTGTCTCTTGGCAGGTGGTTTGATTTTAGGCAAATGCCCATATTTACTCAAAAGGAAGGTGGCCAGAATGTAACAATGGACATAATTGTATCCTGTATGTGAATGTAAGACAACCCTGTCTTTATTTGAATGCTGTTTAGATTGTATTTTGGCACTATAATGTTTTGGTGTTTGTCTTCATCTTTATTCTAATTTTCGATATTAACAATTCACGGTCTGTACTACAATCAGCTCCTGGTCTTGTTTTAGCAGACAGAATGGCAGATTGTTACTTACTGTGAAGGTCCATTCTCCTTGGAACTGACAAGGAAACCCAGATGAGTGGGGAACTTCCTTCTCTCCACTTTTGGAGGCAGGAAGTCCAGCTTTGTTGTTTCAGGGGGAGGAGCTCCCCCATTCCCCTTTCAGTCCGGAAACTTCAATAGATCCCATGGCCAATGCCATAAACTGAAGACCTAGAAAAAACCACAGCAACACAACACACCCCAGACTAACAACTGGACAGAACACCCGATTAAGGAATTTTTCCCTTTTTCTATAATCATTCTGTCCTCCTCAACCTCTATCTTTCACTCTTTTCTGGTTTTTTGGGAGGGGTTTTTTGGGGGGTCTCTTCATCAGTTCCAAGGAGAATGGACCTTCACAGTGTGTACCAATGTACGATTCTCCCTTGGAAGGACAAGGAGATCTGGATGAGTGGGTATGTAACAAAGCATACTGTCCCCAGGGTGCACAAAAAACTTGAATACCCTTAATCCTTTTGCACTAACTACTGCAGAACTCTGCGGCCAAAGGCTTCATCTGAAGAGGATGACTTCTCTCTCTTGTAGTGGCAG